TTATCTGAGTATATATTGAATATTTAAGTGTATGTGTGTATTTTATCTATCCATCTATATATATATATATATTTTTTTTTTTTTTTGGCTGCTCTGTGCAGCTTACTGGATCTTGGTTCCACAACCAGGGATGAACCTGGGTCCCAGTAGTGAAAGCCTGAGTCCTAACCACTGGACCACCAAGGAATTCCCCTAAGTATATTTTTATAAATGCTGCCACCAATATTCCTCCTTCTGCTCCCCGGTCAGAATTCTGTGTGTCTCCCCTGAACATTCCCTCTAATAACTTCAGTATATATCTTCCCATTAAATTTCAGCTTTAACATCAAGAAGGAACTTATTTTGAGTTTATTGCTTCTTTTCTGTTTTTTTTTTGTTGTTGTTCATAAAATGGTGGAATTGTCACTGAATTTTCTATCTCCTTTAAATAACATGTATCTTTACTCCAGATTGTAATTTTGTCATTGATGTTATGCCAGTAACATACCCTGTTCTTCAGAGAATAATTACATGGCAGCATTCTGAAGACTCATCTGATCTTTCTTACCTTTTCATTGTTGTTAAATATTGGTGTTGCTCATAAGTAGTCGATTAATTCTCAGTTGAACAGTAGAAAGGGTTTTTTTAATCCTCTTTTCTCTTTCTAAATTCTGATTTTATTAACAAATGTAAATTTCTCCATGTTAGTTTTTCTGCACACAAAAAATTTAGTATCCTGTCTTCATTTTGCAGTTGGTAAGTCTTAAGACCTGGAAAGCTTTTCCATTGCATTTTAGGTATGAAAATGGGTAACGTTTTTTCTTGACTTTCTGGATTTGTGAAAAGTCACATGCCTCTATCAGTTTCTGGTATGAAGGGGCAGGGTTATATTTCCTGACTGTGTGGTTGATCACAGAGGAAAAAAGACGAAGTTAGGAAGATGTTTGAGTGGGTGTGGCCCTCTCGTAACTGTTGGACGGACAGGTAACGCTGAGTGGAACGCCAGCGAGCTGAGTGCCTGTGTGGGAAAGCAGAGCCTTGAAGCACAGTGTGCAGTTGTGGAGGGCAGGGCTTGAGTGAAGCTTTCTGAATTTGTGTGAGTATTTGATGGGAATAAATTGGTGGCTTGAGTGGAAGAGTAGGCTGTTCTTCCACTATTCCATCTCCCTTCTGTATTGACAAAGGTCGTGGCACTTGGAATGATTGACTTACATTTCAGAAAAATAAACCTGATTTTCTGTTGAATTGAGCCTATAAACTTCTGTGTTTCTCTTTGGGGTCTGTCTTGCTGTCATGTGAACACATTGATAGTATTGCTGAATGTCACAGTATTTATCACAGAGACTACCTGTCTCAGAAACTGTGACTTCACATGTCAGGGACTCTGAACCCTTCTGCCTTAACAAACCCTGATGAAACCTAGTGATGCGAATGTCAAGGGAATCGCAGACTTGGAATCACATGCTGGGTTTCTGGAGCACTTCTTGACAGATGAATTGAAGGGGGCATTACTAGCCATTCTGGATGTCTGGCACACTGGCCTATTGTTTATAGAAAGTATATTAAGGAGAGAAGATAACAAATTGTTAGGTTTTTCTCTCTCCTTTCTGCCTTCATTCTTTCCAGCTTTGCCTTTTTCAATTCTTTTGTCCCTCCTCTCCCTCCTGACTTTGTTGTTGTTGTTGTTCAGTTGCTAAGTCGTGTCCAACTCTTTGCAACCCCATGGACTGCAGCACGACAGACGTCCCTGTCCTTCACTATCTCCTGGAGTTTGCTCAGATTCATGTCCACTGAGTCGGTGGTGCTATCTAACCATCTCATCCTCTGCTGTTCCTTTCTTTGGCCTTCGGTCTTTCCCAGTATTTAGTGAGTAACGAATAGCCAGTTTGTGAGACTTTGCCTTTTCTTGAAGCTTCAGGATAATGTTCCAAGATAATTAGCATTGTTTAAGTTGAATATATGTGAATAACATTGAAAATCCCTAGTTGCTTATGCTAGTATAACCTTCATCCATGACTAGCAGAAGTCATGATTTCTTTGTTTAAAACACACAATAGCAAGAGTATGTAGGCTCACTACCTGTGAAGTTCTTATTTAAGAACTTTGTTTGACCCCACAAGCTAAGAGTTATGAAATACTGTAGCTGTATTCCCTCACTGCCACCCAGAACTTGTGCAGGCCTAGATCAGGGTCTTACTGAAGTTAATGTGATTATCGTTATTTGCAACAGCTACAAGACTGAACTAGAACAAGCCTGGAAGTGGAACCTGGAACAGCCAAGTACCGCACAGGGCAGCCCTCCTTTATTAGCTGGGCCTTCAAAGAGTGTGCAGTCTCTGTGCTCATAAGGAAGGAGCACCTCCACTCCAGAACTCACCTAACTTCAGAGCATTGGTCTTCAAAATGCAGTGAATGGGAGTTTAAGTGACGTAAAGAATCAACGTGAACCTTGATTTTAAAAAAATCCATAGACATGCACAACTGTATGCTGGATATTCTTCTCATCTTCTGGTGAACACAGCAAGGACTGCCGGGGCAGTACATTTCTGAGCGGCTCTCTGAAATATGCTAGCGCCTTCTTTCAAAGGAAGCATTACACAGCTCATATGATCTGACCTGTGTCCAGTCTGCACAGCTCTCTCTCTTTTCTTCTTTCCCTCTTCTCAAGGACTAGTAAGTTTGCAGATATTTTGACCCCATCTCCCCTCCCCTCTTTGTTTCAGGCCCCGGGGGAGGAACATTTGGGAACCCTGGTGACGCACTGACTCCCACGGTCCTGGTTCTGGTTCTGATTGGTCGTCGCCTTGCTCTAGCCATGTGGCCGCAGAGTGCTCTAGCCTGCGTCCCTTTCTTGTTCCTTCCCGTACTGTTCCCTCCTGTTGCACAGAACAAGAGGAGTGGGTCCCGAGCTTTGTCTCTTGCTTCTCATTTAACCCGGTTAGGCAGTAAGTGGAAGAGCACAGTGTATTTCCCAAGGATGGCTGGAGAGGAGAAAAACACCCTTTCCTTCTGTGCCTGGTATAGCAGTGATTTAGTTTCCGGTGCTGTTTTTGTTCAAAGTATATGTTTTGGCAGGTATCCAATTTATGTTTGTGTTGTTTCTCCTCCCCACCCTGATCTGAGCTGGGAGGTTTGTTTTTGTTTTGGTAAAGATCCTCTAGTCCCTTTCTTTGGCTGCGGTGCTGTGCTTTACGTAGTTTGTTAATATGTTTAATTAATGCTGATTAATATGTTGGGGAGGGGGACTGAAAGCAGCTCTAAATAATTCTTTAATTGTTAAATGTCTAAATGTTTTGGCAGTCATCAAGTAATAAAATCTACATGTGATGCGTAGAATTATCCATAGCACCACTGCTATTACTCCTCTTCTCTTAAACTATATCCATTTCATTACTCTGCCTTCTATATTTGAGAAATAGGATTTTGAAGACTTGAAAGTTATTTTTATAAGGATTTTATATTTTTATTGATTTGCATTTTTCATGTTCTGCAGATAGTTTCTGGAAATACTTTGAACTCTGCATCTTTCTTTTTTCTTTTTAATGTTTAACTTCTCAGAGAGGCAGTGCTAGCAGAGTGTAAAGTGTAGCCTACTCTCCCTTCACCAACCTTTATACGATATTTTCATTACCTAAAAAGAACAGTAAAAAAAAAATAATAAATTTTTTTTTTAATCAAGAATGTATTTTGTATTGGCTTAACATTGAAAAAAAATCCATTTTGTAAATATCTTAATGTTCAAATAGGTTAAGCACATAACCTGCAGGTTTGGCTTCTTTAGAGAGTATTGTGTAGTGAAGTTGGTTAGAGTCATAAGCAGGAATGTGAAAATCAGCCTGGCCCTTATGGTTTCACTTAACCCCTCATTTAGCGATCTTTATTTACTTCTTTTTCTCTATTTAAAATCTATATTAGAAAATAGCAGTCTGCTTTTGTCAGAAGTAACAAACCTCAGCTGGTGAACTCACCTCAAAAGTGTAAATGAGGAGTGCTGCTTAGACTTTCTTCCAGCCATTAGGGCCAGAGAGTCAGAGCCCAAGTCAGGCCCCAAATGGTTAGTGTACTTTCTCTGAGCCATTTGCCAGTCTTCAGTTCCACCGCTCCAACGTCATGTGAAGAGACATTCACTTAGCCACGTACTTCTAGATGCAGAGTTTAGTTGTGAACAAAGTTAAGTCTGTGCCTGCGTGGAGCGTAACTTTGTTGAAATGTAGTATTATAGTCATGAAGGTTTCTGAACACACCATTTTCTTTGATTTTAATAAAGACAGGGGAAAAAATTTATTTAAAAATTTCATCCCATGTACTGAAAATCCTACTCTGCCTAAACAAAGTTTTAGTAATCCTGTTACATGAGTTACCTGTTTCAGTAAAGTCTCTGTTCTGGGATCAAGGTTTCTTAAAGTCTGTTTAATGTTTTAAACTGGGGTAGATACATGATGTTTGTTTGATTAATAAAAATCAGTAAGACTGGTATCTATGTTATCAGATGCAAGAGAGAAAAAATGACCAACAGTGTACACCACTAATAATTCTGAGTACTTTACATGAGGCATCTTGGTACTTGGAAGAGTCTTAAAGTTACTGTTAATTACCTCATTTTATAGAACAGGAAGCTGAAGCACAGATAGGTTATGTGACTTAACCAATGTCATGTAACTGGTAAGTAGCAGAACTGAAATTTGAATTGCGGCAGTGTATCTCCAGAATCATGTATTTACTGCCTCTTTAAACTGTCCTTCCAGCCCGGCACACGAAGTCATGATAGTCAAGGAGTCTCGGCCCTGCAGTGTGCCCTCCGGTAGCTTTTCTTCTCATCTGTGACTCAGCTCCCGTTTACATGTGAAGTGTTTTCTTAGGCCGTGGGTTCCTGCTCTGTTGTCTGAATTTTAAATGTAGCAGGTTTTAGATTTAGCTGGTTCCAGAGACGCTGTCAGGGGCATGTAGTTGCTGCCTATTTCTCTACAGCTGATAGAACAATATTCTAACAGATTTTATTCTTTTTTGTCCTCACTTGGTAGAAAAGAGTAGTTGAACAGCTACGGAAGAACCTGATAGTAAAGCAGGAACAGCCAGACAAGTTCCAGATACAGCCCTTGCCACAGTCTGAAGGCAAACTGCAAGCAGCACAGCAGCAGCCGCTGCCGCAGCCCCAGCAGCAGCAGTACCACCACCACCACGCCCAGTCGGCCGCGCCCGCCCCCAGCCTGACCGCCTCGCAGGTACGCTGTGCGCTGACCTGTCGCTGCTCGCGCAGAGCTCGGTCCTGTTTCAGCCCGCGCTGACAAGCGGAACTAGCGCGGAACTAAAGTTTTTTGGTTACTTTTCTATGCTGTGTCTGGGATAACAAGCACTTGGAAGTCATTGGCAGAGAGAAATAACATTACCAAGGAGTAAAAGTTAAAATGGTTTCCCCTGTGTCCAAAGAAGGGGAAAAGGGAAAGAAAAATCACGTCTCTGTATTGGAGCAGAATTAGAGTCTTATTTTGAATTCTGAAAGTGTTTATTTACACTTGTTCTAAATGTCTCTGTGAGTTGACGTCTTCAGGAATTGTTTTTCTGGAATGCTTAGCAGTTGGTGTGGAAATATTCCAGGATTAATGCCCAGGGGACCAGTAGAAAGAGGCATTTAGAAGGTGATACCACATTTCATAGAAGTGAAATATTCACTTCCAAGTTCATATTCATCTCATATGAGAATATGTATTTGTTCTCATACAGTGAAGGAAATCTGAAATGGAAGCTGCAGGTCAAAAATAGTGCTAAGGAGTGGAAAGCTTAAGAACATTCTAATTGGTGTAGCTGTGCAAGTAAGTGATTTTACTGAAAAGGGCGTTTATACTACCGCATAATGTAAGGATATTAAGGCATTCAGGACACATGGAAAGGATGTATTTAGGAATGATTCAATTAAGAGAAGTAATCAAGCTTGATCTCCACACTCTTATTTGTAGTGTGGGCATACCTTTTAAAATGGGACTCTTCAACAGTAGCTCTTGGTCTTTGGAGGTCACAGACTCCTCTAAGACTCTGTAAAGCCATGGATTCCCTCCCTGGAAAAAAACACATTCACACCTAATACAGTCATTTTTGCACATGGTGTCAAGGATTTGGGGGTCTTCTGAAACCTAAGCATGGACACCGCTCATCCACCAACACCATCTCCACCATATCTTTACATGTACAGCAAAAGATGATAGTTTACTTGGCTAGTCACTGTTGAAGTACATTGGACTGGTTCATATACAATATTTTGCAAATGCAAAAAAATACTTATAAAAACACTGAAGGTTACTGAAGGCAGTTAACATTTGATAGAGGTTATATTATAAAGTTATACTGGCACTCTCCTAAGCACTTTACATGTGCAATGTGCACAGTCCTCACCTAGACCCTACGAGGACAGTATTATTATTATTATCTCTGATTTCTAGAGAAGAAAACTAAGGAAGTCACAGAGAAATTAGTAATCGCCTAAAGTCATTTCAGTGTCATGTGATGGAGCAAGGGTTTGAACCCAGATATTCTGACTGAAAAATCTGCCCATTTGCTACTCTAAACTGCTATACAATGTCCAAAAGAGAAATACTGACATTATATAAAATGCCAGAGAAGGAAAAATGAAGAGTCCCCATTGTAAATCAGGTAGCTAGAGTGGCCTGCATCATTTTTACCCTGATCTCCAAGGCTATTTGGAAATGACGCATTCAAACTGACTTTTAAACCCCCCTGACCAGGACTTGTGTTTCTTCTAAAAGGTTGCCTATCAGTTTACTTCTTTTGGAGTTTTTAACAGAGTTGGATTGGTTGTTCTCTTTCCAAAGTATAGTTTGATCAGAAAGTGTTTACATGGACGGAGTTTGGTAGAATTCACTGTTTCCTGGTACTTGGAGTTTTCTCTATTCATCCATGGAAACTTTTTCTTCAAGTACCATTCCATATTGCACAAATGAGAGGAAATACTTACCTAATACTTAAATAATAGCTATTCCCTTCCCTGGTAATCTGAGTTCCGAGCTGGTTTGGGATGGCAATAGTAAGGGGCCCAGGGCTAGTCCCAAAACAGTGGCATCTCCATTTGGTAGCCTATCTGATAATTTAACTAATTTAGCTAAGCTTGTTTTATATTGCTTTTTTTTTTAAATGATAAAAGCCAAAAGATCTTCAAGTTTGGGGGTTTTGTTTTTATAGTAAACTGTCCATTATTATTTATCGGGTGCTCCTTATGTGCTAGCTTTTAGTATACAGAGAGGTAGTAATGTCTTAGCAACTGAACAACAACAATGTCCCTGCCTAGAATCTGGTAAACTATGATAAGTATTTTCATTAAGTATGCAAATATTTATTGAGTCTCTACTATATGCAAGCCCTGTGCTGGGCACTGGAGAGGACAGATTCACAAATAAGACAGGGTTTCTGTCTTCAAGAACTTAAAAAATTTAGAAGAGAGGCAGATGTAAACAGCTAACAAGAAAAACATGAAAACACAAGTGAGGAGCTGTGAAAATACCAGAGGACAGTAATATTGACCAGAGGGACCAGAGAGTGCTGCATAAAGGAGGCAGTTTTTGATCAGGGCCTTGACAGATAAGAGAGTTCCGTGATGGAGCAGACGGGAAAGAGCGTCACAGTGCAGAGAGCAGTGTGAACAAAAGTATGGACAGAAAGGAAACGCGGGCCTTGGGAACAGCAAGGAGGCTGATGTGGCTGGAGCTTGGATTCCAGGAAGTGGTGGAGAGGGAGACAGAGCCAGGAGGTAGGAAGAGGCTAGCTGTGGACGCTCTCTAACGTGTGGCAGAACTTCGGGAGTTTTTGGCGGTCACAGGGAGTCGTTAAAGGTTCATGAAGTCAGGGACAAATGGGGAGTTTAATATATGGCATATACTAAATGTTTCAGTCCAGAAAGGATTAACTGTTAGTTTAGCGGTCTGTGTAAGCAAGGAGGAGATGCTAGAAGAGCAAGCGTTTTATTCTAAGTTGGGTGATTAGCGTGTACTAAGGCTGGGGAGAAGGAGGGAGGGGGGAAGGAAACCTGTTCCCTTTACTTAGCTAACTCCAACTCATGTTTGTACGTATGTTTAGAAAATTTTCTAATCTACAGAAAACAGTGAAAGAACAGTTGAACACAGGTGTACTCTTCAACTTATATTCACAGCTCTGTCATTTTAAATGAGTACAGGTATAAAGAAGCATGCAATTAATAAAACCAAATAGAAAATAAATGCTTATAGACAAATGGGACTGGAATTCTACTGATAGCTGTCCAAGTGTACAACAGTTACCTTCCGTTCAAAACTAAACCAACAATCTGAAATAGATGTGGAAGTTAATTAGAGCTCATAGTAATAATCCCTCTAAGTTCTGATTTGTACATTGGAGCCTGTCTTTTTAAATTCAGTACCTTATGCTTTGCAGCCACTAGCCACATGTGACCATAAAAAACCAGTAACTTAGCAAAAAAATAAAAAGATTTTGCTGTTAATACTTTTTGCCATATATTTTCTGCATTAACTTCTAGTTAATGATCTCTTGAAAGAGATCATACTTGGACCACATCAACCAGTCAAGGACTAATCAGCTTCCATAAAAACAACTTTCTTTGTTTTGGGACACCTTTCCTCTCTGTGTCTTCTCTTCCTCCTGCCAGAACAATTCAGAGGTTTTCATTGGGTTTGGATATCAAAATTTTAGATTCTCTTTGTCATCTAAACTCAAAACTCCAGGATTGGTTTGTGTTCCCTAGTACTTAGAATTGGAGAAGGCAGTAGCACCCCACTCTAGTACTGTTGCCTGGAAAATCCCATGGACGGAGGAGCCTGGTAGGCTGCAGTCCATGGAGTCGCTAAGAGTCGGACACGACTGAGTGACTTCACTTTCACTTTTCACTTTCATGCATTGGAGGAAATGGCAACCCACTCCAGTGTTCTTGCCTGGAGAATCCCAGGGATGGGGGAGCCTGGTGGGCTGCCGTCTGTGGGGTTGCACAGAGTTGGATACGACTGAAGTGACTTAACAGCAACAGCAGTACTTAGAATAGAATAAGCACCAGACCAGGAGTAAAGAGCTAAGCAGTACTTGTGGCAATACCTGATGTCAGTAAATGGTTAGCAAATATATTCATCAAAAGCTTTTCATCAGAACATACAGTACTAGGTCTTGGGCCTTTATAGACAAAGAGAGTTATGTAGCTGCTAGAAGACATGGAGTGAAATTCGCTACAACTAAATATTTCTAAAGTAGAATAAAAATGCTGACGTGTGAACACACTTGTTAGAATTCAGTGCTTTTTAGTGTTGCAGTTAATGGTAAGTATATAATTCGGGTTAGTTTGAGGTTTTACTCACTTTTAAAGGATAATTATTCAGAAAATTGATAATGACTTAACCTGAACCAAGCATATTTCAAACAGAAGTATACTGACCCTCTTTTTAAAGTAGTACAACATGAGAGTTCCCTCATAGCTCAGTCAGTAAAGTAGTACAACATGCACAAATGTTTCTAAAATCCATGTCAGTGAGTTCTGCTGATTATAGCTTTTCTTCCACAACTCGTGGTGGTACCAGGATTGAATGCCATCTGGTGTGACTTGCTCACCACTTCAAAAGTTCTGTGTATTTAAACGTTTTAAATTGAAAGATAGAACTAATACCACACTGGATCCAAAACAGATATTAAGATAGCTGGTAGGATAAAGCCAGTCCTCGCTGCTGTACTGCTGTGACATTTCTGATGGTAAGCAGCATTTCGCTTTTATTTGGTTTTCATCACTGATAGGCAGTGGATGGCCTGCTACCTCCCAAGATAAATAATAATTATCAGTGTTTCCCCTTTCACTCCCATTTTGCACTGGAGAGGACAGTGGCAAGGAAGATAAGTCATCTTGTATCATTGACTAAGGGAAGAGGAAACGTATTTGGGTGATATTAATTGTAGGCATCAATAAGGATCACTAATTATTCTCAATATGGGATAGTTGAGGTCAGCTTATTACCTGTTTTTGGTTAAAAAAAGGGTGTTAAAAAGTTAGATAATACATGCAAATGTATTGTCATGCAAATGTTTAAGGCAGAAAAATTACTTAGAACCAAATGACTTAAGGACTTGCATAAACACTGAAATAGAAATTCACAAAGGAATTTGTTCAGATCTCTTTCAGGGAGAGTGGGGTCCTTCACCCTGGTTGAGGGCAGCGCTTGTCCAATAGAACTCTCTGTAGTGTTGAAAACTCCACTGGCCAGTTTGGTAGCCGCCAGTCACACGTGGCTGTAAATACTATCAATGTGGCTAGTGTGACTGAGGAACCGATACTTTAATCTTTATTTTGTTTTAATTAAATTTGAATACCCACATGTGGCTATTAGTTACGAAACTGAACAGGACAAGTATAGAGTAAGAGAAAAAGATGAAATATAGTAATATTAAAATGAGAACCAACAAGTTAGACCAGGTGTATTTTCAGGTTTCTGAAACATCTCTATATAGAGTGTACTAATAGCATTTGATAGATGTATGCACCATGAAATGAGATTGTTTATATTTTCTTCTTTTGTAGCTGGCTCCTTTAATTATGCTGATAGAAGAATCTAGAAAAATACAGCTCCAAAGCTGCAGTAGTGCTTGTGGAGCATCAGTGAAGTCCTGTCACCTTAGTTCAGACTCTGTTCTATCAGACTTTCTGAAACTCAGGTGTTTGTTTCCACCCCATCGCCTTTTTCTGGTTCTTTAGTCACTTCTGCAGCAGTCCTTCAGAGAAAGGATTGTTGATAGTGACATATCCCTTTGGTATCAAGAGCTGGTATTTACTATACTAGTTGGTTAATAAGTTTCATTATCTAGAATTGGGAATTTACTGCCTTTGAGGCAGCAGTTGTACTAATTCTCATGTGAGTTTCCTCTCCTCCTCTCCACTCAAAAGAGTTAAAGACACTGACTGTCCTTTTATCCAAGCCTCTGTGTCACAGAAGGCAGATAACCAGAATTATATGATAAGTTTCTTCATATTGATGAGGTTGTAACAGTTAAAGAGATGGTGTGTACCTCATTGATTTGCAACTTTTACAAAGTTTAAATTGAGAGCAAGCAAAAAATTTAAAAACCAGAAGAAATAGTTACACTCACATTCTCTATCTGTAAACCCACTCCTTTCCTTGTTGAAAATCCTACGGCCATATTATCTTGCAGTTATTACTATAAACAGACTTGAAGCTAAATCTGAGAACTCTGGCAAACTTGACATTGTCTTGCCCTCTAGTAAGAACTGTGCTCTATGTACATAAAAGAAATGTTACACGAAAAAGCTTGACTGATTATGAGAACCATTGCTTTGTTTTCTTCTGGAGGTTAGCATTTTGTTTAGTGGGATGACACTTCAGTGTCCTAATATCTGTTCTCCATGTCTCCTAGAAGACTGTAACTACAGCTTCTATGATTACCACAAAGACACTACCTCTCGTCTTGAAAGCAGCAACTGCGACCATGCCTGCCTCTGTTGTGGGCCAGAGACCTACCATTGCTATGGTGACCGCCATCAACAGTCAGAAGGCTGTGCTCAGCACTGATGTGCAGAACACACCAGTCAACCTCCAGACGTCTAGTAAGGTCACTGGGCCTGGGGCAGAGGCTGTCCAAATTGTGGCAAAAAACACAGTCACTCTGGTAAGCCAGCAGCTGCTACTCGTGTGTGCCCACATGAGAGGGTTCAGGATATGCACTTGTAGAGTTCTATCCAGGTTACGCTCCTGCTGGATTTTTCAGTCTCCATCAGTCTTCTACCATACCAAATTCGCCTTTGGGGCTGACGAGGGAATATGGCATTCCTGCTATCTATAGGGGCTTCCCTGGTGGCCCAGACAGTAAAGAATATACTTGCAGTGCAGAAGGCCTGGGTTCAGTCCCTGGGCTGAGGAAGATGCCCTGAGGAGGGCATGGCAACCCACTCTAGTAGTTGAGGCTTCCCTGGTGGCCCAGACAGTAAAGAGCCTGCAGTGCAGGAGGCCCAGGTTTGATCCCTGGGTTGGGCAGATCCCATGGAGAAGGAAATGGAAACACACTCTGGTATTCTTGCCTGGAAAATCCCGTGGACCGAGGAGCCTGGCAGGCTGCAGTTAATGGGGTTGTGAAGAGTTGGACATGACTGAGCGACTGACACACACACTGTCTATTTAAATAACTGTAGAGGTGTCCTGACACCAAGGATGGCCAAAATATGACTTGACTTAAAGGGGGAAAATGTCCTTCACAGGGGCATTTGCGCGGTCTCATGTATCTCTCCCTGCCTCCTATCCACAGTCCTCCCTGTGAAACGTGAGAGCTCTGGTGCTGTATTGCTAAGTCAGGGGAGATGCCCTGCTCAAGTTTTTAGTTCACTCTTCCTTGAAATCACACCCAGGAAGTAATGGAGTTAGTTGGGGCGCTTTAAAAAAATGTTTAAGAAACCCACAAATTACAGTGCCCTGTCTGTTCCAAGGTCCATCAGAAAAAAAAGACCTCTGGAAGGAAGAGGTTCCTGAACAAAAATTGTTCTTGAGATTTCTAGGGTAAAACCATCTAAAAACCAGTGTTTTCAGAATATATCCAAATTGCAGTTTAAAGGTCCGTTCTTAAAGTGAACGCTAAGGGTCTTGATGGCTTTCAAATAATGACCAGTGGTGAGTGAAGCCAGAGGGCCTTAAAGGCAAGCTCTGCTTCTTACCCAGGAATCTTTAGGAAAGCAGCCAAATAACTCAGACAGACGCTGAGAGTTAGAGAATTCTCTGTAGGAAGAAAGCCATTCACTGTTAGGTAAAACTCTCATATTAGGAAAAAGCCCATCTGTCCAGGCTGCAAGTTTGATTTTACTTTGGAATCAGTGTCGACTTTTAAAATACACAAGTGCAGGAGTTTTTGAATGTCAGAGGAAATTGTCTTAAGACTGCTGAGTCTGTTATGTTCTACATTAGAGGTATAAGGAAACAAATGCGATTGGTTCACTTTATGGGGCAAAGCATTCAAGCAGGAGAATAAGAAAGTTTCTTAAGGTGATGTTAATTCAGATGGTTAATTCTCCAGTGAAAGCTTGTAGAAAATACTGTCTGATCAAGAAAATAGTGATCCTGCAAACCCTTTAAGAGTCCCGAGCTTTAGCACTATTTACAATAGCCAGAACAACGGAAGCAACCCGAATGTCCATCGACATCTGAATGGATAAAGAAGATGTGGTACATGTATACAATAGAATATTACTCAGCCATAAAAAGAAACAAAATTGAGTCATCTGTAGTGATGTGGATGGACCTAGCGTCTGTCATAAAAAGTGAAGTAAGTCAGAAAGAGAAACGTATCACATATTAACACGTATATATGGAATCTAGAAAAATAGTACCAATGACCCTATTTGCAGGGTAGGAATAGAGACAGATGTAGAGAATGGACGTGTGGACGCGGGAAGGGGAGGGTGGGACGAATCGGAAGAGTAGCACTGACGTGTATACACCACCATGCGTAAAACAGCAGTGGGAAGCTGCCTGTAGCAAGGGAGCTCAGCTCCGTGCTCTGTGATGACCATGAGGGGTGGGAGGATGCTCAAGAGGGAGGGGATATACACACACGTATAGCTGATTCAATTTGTTGTGTAGCAGAAACCAACACACGCTGTAAAGCAATTATACTCTGAAAAAAAAAGGATGCTAGCTTTTATTTTTTATTGAATAATTATTTTCCCCTCTGATTTGTCTTTCTCATTTTTTTTAGCAGGTTCAGGCAACACCTCCTCAGCCCATCAAAGTACCACAGTTTATCCCCCCTCCTAGACTCACTCCACGTCCAAACTTTCTTCCACAGGTGAGTAAATCAGTGACGAGCCCAGTGATGGGTTAGGTGAGACAAGAATCCTTGTGGACCCTTTCGAAGCAGCTTATAATGTACTTGTCAGTTCAGCTATATTCAGATCCCACTTAGCTAAAGATTCTAGCTGCAGGTCTGTATACCATGAAGAAGCTTTTTTTTTTTTTTTGCCACACCACACGGCATATGGGGTCTTAGTTCCCTGACCAGGGTTCGAACCCATGTCCATTGCAGTGGAAGTACAGAGTCTTAACCACTGGACCACCAGGGAAGTCCCACAGAAGAAGCTTATGTTATCATCAGGGTTTTTTTTAGCAATGACAAAATGCTGTAGCAGAGGGATGTATGGAAAGGGAATTTGTCCTAAGTTTAAAATAATTAAAATAGCACCATTTTCAGCCTTATGACATTAACTTAGAATTTAGCCAGAACTGCCTGCCAATGGGGAAGGAATGCAGTTCTCACTTCTCTGCCCCGCCCCTGACCCCCATATGCTGAGGAGAGTAGGGAGGAGACAGTAGCAACTCAACCAGTAGAAAGCATTCTGTTCTCTGGAAAGTGATGGCACTGAGCATTATACTGGAGCACAGAGTCTTGCTAATAAAGATTTAGACTAGGAAGCTATACAGGGAGCTTTCTACCCAGACCCCAGCAACACTGCCCATATTCTCATGAGAGCATTCTTCCAGCAATTGGACCAAACTCACCATTCTCATGACAGACTACCAGGATTGTCCCAGTATGGACTTTGATGGGGAGTTGACTTGCCTGGTAGAAAGACTGGGTATTCCTGTCTGAGGCCTCAGCTTTCAGACAGAGAGAGAAGGGAAAGAAATTAGTTGTTTCTGTATTGCCTTGGGGAGGGGGATGGGCAGTGCTAACATGAGATAAATCAATAATTTATCAGGTAAATCCTTAATGCTATAGGTATCAAAAGGGCCCTAAGAACTGTGGATATGAGGGTTTCAAGATATTTCTCAGCCTCATGCAGCTTCCGACACATGTATGGCAATCACTTGTGTCCACGATGCTTTCAAACTGTGGTGCTGGAGAAGACTCCTGAGAGACCCTTGAACAGCAAGGAGATCAAATTAGCCAGTCCTAAAGGAAATCAACCCTGAATATTCACTGGAAGGACGGATGCTACAGCTGAAGCTCCCATACTCTGGCCACCTGATGCGAAGAGCCAGCTCACTGGAAAAGACCCTGATGCTGGGAAAGATTGAGGGCAGGAGGAGAAGGGGGTGACGGAGGATGAGATGTTTGGATGGCATCACTGGCTTAGTGGACATGAATTTGAGTGAGTTCCAGGAGGTGGTGAAGGACAGGGAAGCCTGGCGTGCTGCAGTACACGGGGTTGCAAAGAGCTGGACACGACTGAGCGACTGAACAGTCGTTGGAAGTACCATGCAGTCTGAGAACACGTGAGAAGGATGCCCAGCTCATCCTTGGAGTATTACAGAAAGCTTTCTTGGAGAGTTGACATTCAATCTCAGACCTAAAGTCCTAATGATGTCAGTTTGACATAGTTATGGAGGAGAAATAAAAATGTCTTGGGCAGAAAGAGGAACATGTATGCAAGTCCATGATGGTGAGAGACACGTAGGCTTGAGGAACCAAAGGAAATTTGATGTGACTGAGTATGTGGGCCACGTGGCTGACTCAGGCTAGAGTAAGATGAGGATGGAGAAGCCCATGGGCCAGTGCCTTTGGAACCTTGGAGGCTATATAGGAATTGGGCCTTGCCTAGGAACAGTGAGGATCCATTAAATTATTCTCAAACAAGTGCTTGGCATGATTATATTTTTGTTTTAGAAAATTCCCCCTTAACACTGTGTAGAGAATAGATTGGTGATTGTCTAGACTGTGGCAGTAGAAACTGTTGGGACAGTGTCAACAATTAACGATAGCTAATGTTTAGAGAATCTTGCTATGTGCCACTTATTGTAGTAGGCATTTTACACGGGTTATCTGTTTTAATCCTCACAACAACTCTGTGAAAGTAGGTGTTTTTTTTTTTTTTAGATAAGAATCTAAGGTTTAGTTTGTTTTTCAAAGGGTGGGTCATGACCCATTAGTAGACTGTGAAATCAATTTGGTGGACTGTAACCAGAGTTTTTAAGTAAAATGAAGAAAACAGAATAGGAAATGTTAAGAGTATGAAGTATTATTTCATGAGGTTTTTTTTTTAAAAAAATAGATGTATAGATAAATGTCTGTTTATAGATAAATATGTTTACAGTGTAAAACATATTTCCTATTATGTATCTTTAGCACATAGTATAAGGTTGTCTTAGATGCAGCTAAGTATTCAGACTCACAAGACTGTCAAAGGCCACTCTCTGCACCAGTCCACTTGGAATGATACAGGACAGAAACCAGCGCTTGCCAGCAAGGTAGCATCAGACATTTTTCTTCAGTAGGAGTCCCTACAGGTGTCCATAACAACAGTCTCTGCGGCTGTCCAGGGACTGCTCAGGTATAGGCAAATGGTCTTCATCAGGACAGTGGGAGAGCCTCCCTGGAACAGAAACCTTATGCCTCTCAGGAGCCCAGTGTATCTTGCAACAATTCATAGGTGTGACTTTCAAGGTCCCCGCAGTGGACATGCCTGGTTACAAGAGTCACCCCATTTTAGGAAACCCAAAGCATGGTGTGTCTCATCTTCTTTTTCAAAAGTGTTTATAGCAAATTTCTGTCTATGCTTTTTGCAAGTAATGGAAATAGTAGATTTGATTTAGCAACAAGAGGTCATTTTTACCATCAGCAGTGTTCCTACTAACATAGTTGTCATTCTTCTGTTATCAGGCTTCCAGGGGTGTACAGCTAGAGTTAACTGAAGGTCAAATTCTTATGTATAAGGAGAAGGGATTTTGCCTCCAGGTCACTTAGAAAGTTTAAAAAATACTGGCCTAGAGAGGTCAGGTATGTTACCTCAGGTTACACAGCCAACTAGTAAGTGGTAGAACCAGGATTTGAACACAGGCAAGGATAATCCCATGTTTTTAATCACAGTTTTCTGCCACTGTTTCAGTAAAACGTCACAGCTAGAGTAGTGGCAGTGAGGATAGAAAAGTAGACATATTTGAGAAGGATTTAGGACGCGGAGGTAGAGTGGAAACATTAGGAATGATTCTGAAGTGGTTTTTTTTTTTTTTCCTAGTAAGAAAGGGGCATTTACTGAGGTAATGATTATAAGAAGAAAGGATTGGAAGAAGTTGATGAGTTTTAGACATGTTGATTTTGAACTTCTTGTGAAATTTCCAAGTAGAGATGGATAACAGAGAGATGAACAAATGATTCTGAAATTCAGGAAATGTCTGGTCCTAAAATCCAAGTGTGGAAGTCTTCAGTTGAAGCGGTAGGATACGTGAGAATTCCCAGAAGGAGTGAGGACATCGGGAAGTAAAGGGGTTCCAGGACAAAACCCTGAGAAATAGTTATATTTTGGATTGAGCGGAGGTACAGGAAGCCAGAAGGGAGACATAGAGAAGGACTGGCTGGGAACAGGGAGTTAGAGGACCAGAGATGAGAGTGAACGGAAGCTGTGGGTGTGAAGAAATTTAGAATGTGAGGTCAGGGCATTGGCAGCGTTATTACCATTGCTGGGCACAAGTTCTGGGTGGGACCAGTCTCTGGATTAGGCATCTGACCTCAGCCTGAAGAGGTGGCATGGTATAGGAGAGGGAGCTATGGTTTGGAATCAGAAAATCTACATTCTAGGGTAGCATCTGGATCCTCTTAAGAGCTGATGCATCTCTGTAATATTATATATCCTGAGATCTATAGAATTGATAATTCTGAAGTGGCTATCAATAAATATTTGTACTGAATACCATTTCACATATATAGTGTAGAAGATCTGGCAGTGTCTAAAGCTTATAGGACTTGAGAAGTTTTAGTAATACGATAATTGTTCTTTCTTTCTCCATAGGTTCGACCCAAGCCTGTGGCCCAGAATAACATTCCTATTGCCCCAGCACCTCCTCCCATGCTTGCAGCTCCTCAGCTTATCCAGAGGCCCGTCATGTTGACCAAGTTCACCCCCACGACCCTCCCTACCTCCCAGAATTCTATCCACCCCGTCCGTGTCGTCAATGGGCAGACTGCAACCATAGCCAAAACGTTCCCCATGGCCCAGCTCACCAGCATTGTGATAGCTACTCCAGGGACCAGACTCGCTGGACCTCAGACTGTACAGCTTAGCAAGCCAAGCCTTGAGAAACAGGTACAGGCACAGTATGCACCTGCTTTGGGCATAGCTTTGCCACTGAGGCTGGGCAGTCTGTAAGGGGTCTTTATCTTCTCAAAGGCTCTTTATCTCAGCACCACTGTTAGTTGCTTATCAGGAGATAATTTATCCACAGCACAAAAGGGCCGTTCCTACTGAAGAAAGTTGGGGTTGCTTTACCCACCATCTCCTTGTAGGTGAATTCTGATTCTTGTGTGAGTGAGCTCCCCCTGCTGGTTCAGAAGCAGAAATTCACAGATACCAGTTCTGCTGCCCTCAGTCAGGAAGCACAGATAAGGAAATAAACAGAAAATGTCCTGTTCCTTTCGGCCCAGTGAGAATCCGTATGAGGATATCACTATAAAAGTCAGGAAGAATAAACAGAACAAGGAAAAGAATTTCATTACAAAGATTTTCCCTGGCTATTACAGACAATGAGGAGCCAATGAAAAATTAAGATTTCTAAAATGCGTTCTTTTAACTCTAGAGGTTACAGACATTTTAGCTCAAATATTGAAGCCTTTCATTTGTATTTCTAAAATCAGATTTTCTGGCAGAAACGCAAGTCTGTAGAACTAAACCTCCCAAGAATACATAAGGGTTCTATGACAGAAAGACTTCTAAAACCAAGAAGAAGGACTTTATAGGCAGTCACTGTACTCTATTTAAAGAAAAACCAATGACAAGAAAGAATTTTGCAAAGAAAAGCTCTTTTAAGAAGGTTGCTTTAAAAAGTCATTGACCTATATCTAATTGCTCAGGCTTGAGTTCTCATTCATCTGAAAATAGTCTCTGGTGATCCTGAATCTTCTGCTTCTGGGTGGCTGACCATGATTCAGAGAGGCTGGCCAGATGGTGGAAAATGAGAAGGCTTCCTGCTGCCTTGGCCGCCTTGAACAGAGGAGCCTTATGCACAGAACACCGGCTTTCTAACCAGGCAGCTCATAAATGCTGCTAATTTGGCACTAAGAATCTGGGTACCACAATCTTATATCAGGAAATACAAGCGAAAACACATATCTATTCCTGGGGAGCCTACTCAAACCCTAGGAAATGCTTTGAGGAACATTTAGAGATAAATGACTTAACATGCATTTTAGATCAGAAGTTTTCAAATTTATTATCAGTGGAACTTCAATATGAAACAAGGAAAGTAAGATACCCAAGCTTAGGAGTTTGGGTGGAGTCATGTTTGTAGACCATCTGCCGTCATATCCTGTGCTGGCTCTCAGAGGACCTCTGAGGAGCCTTAGAGTTACGAAGAATGTGATTTCAAAACATTATTTTAGAATGTTATTTCTCTTTGATCTCTTATTTGATCAAGATATTTTTAGGATACAAGAATCTTTTCCATTTCACTTCATTTTTACATTTCTTATTTTTTTCTGATTATAACGATGATACATATTGAAAGAAAATCCAGACATTACAGAGATACATATGGTAGAAAGTGCCTTCCCTCATGATCTGTGAAGAGAGTAAACGTCTCCCATAATTTTTTCCTTCGCAGTTGCTACTAGCAGTTTAGCATCATATTCCTCCATGTTTTCTTTTTAAAGCAAAAGGCAAAATCAGATTATATATTACTTTGTAGCTTGTTTTTTCCATATTAGATCTTGAATATCTTTTCCTTTCTCAGCCTTATATATTGATAGAGCTCTTCATGTTAATTATAATATCATAAAAATATATCCATAAATTAAAACAACTTTTCTAGCAGTGAACTCCATGGGCTCCCTTCTTGTTGATCTAATAAACAAATGCAATTGTTGCTGTTCTAGTTTAGCAGACCACTTAGCATAGTAGTCTTACAGGTTATCAGGCTCAGTCGGAAGGATTCTCTTTAGACTCCATTCTCAAGATTATCTTCAGATCTTTCTAGTCTCCCCCTTTTTCTTCATATTTCATTTCCAGCATCTCATTTAGAGCTGTTTCAGAGATCTCACAGATAGGCGATATGTAGCCACAGAAGTACCGCTTGCAGCCTACTTGTAGAGATACCCAAACTTGTATCCCACCATTGTGTATGTGACCAGGCTAGATGGGTTCCTTTCTGCTTTTTGCTCTTTTGTTTAGGATGATAGCAATCATTAGTAAAAATGCATTGATTCCGTGCTAGCTGTTATGCTGCATGTACTGACATGAGGGCTGGTAAGTGAAAGCCTGTACCATCACAGAACTCAGTCTCTAGAGCATCTGGGGCAGGTCCTGTGGCTCTGCCTTCATAGGAGGAAGCACAGCAGGTTGGGTAGTTGCAAAGGCTTCGCTGTAGGAGAGGAAAGAGGTAGCATCAGCTGTAACAGCAGTTGTCTCACTTCTTCTCTCCCCGCCCCCATTAGGCATCCGCAACTTCTTATCCACCCCAGATGAAAGAGCCCCTGTCTTATCCCTTATTAGAAGCCGTTTACATTGTGGCTGTGAGAAACCGAGTGGTAAAGTTTAAAGAGCTTTGAGGCTAGAAACATATTTAAGGCAGAAAAGTAGGTAAACCCAGACGAACCTACATCGGAACCCCCCCTCTGCTTCCCTTTATGTCTTTGTCCTCTCCAGCATTCTGTGAAATGGGGCTAAATGCCTGTGGGTGCTAGAAAGTCATAAAGCACTTCAAGTCTGTTAAACTGTGCCTGGCACAGTTAGTTCCCAGGAATTAATGTTCATTTTTTATGCATGCCATCCTATCCCATCCCCTGCAACAAAGCTTTCTGTGTATGTCCTGAGGCTAGACTGCTGAAAAAATCCCAGGTACTATGGGAAAATTGGTCAGATTGCTACCCATTCCCCTACTTGCATTTATTACTTTATATAGAAACCTACACAGTATCTTCTTAAAAAAAAAAGTACTTCCAAGTTGAGAATATTATCCTGTATATTATCTTCAAATCCCAGTCTTCCCTTTAAGGAAATTTGAGGTAGTGACTTTTTGCCCTCCAGTGGGGAAAACAAAGCCAAGTGACCAAAAGATGGATTTTGCTTTGCCCTCAACCCAAATTTTAACCTTGATTGGTGTAACCATTTGGACATTTAAAAACTTGGCAGGTGTCTGACTTTGATTATTTGTGCATCATGGCCTCAAAAGGTGAATTTGTAATTCAGGGGTTTATGTGGCTAATTCAGTTCTATTATTTTCCAGAGTTTTTGGTTTCTATCTTTTAAAACCAAAAAAGAACAAGATTTGCAAATTTGTACAGGTGCAGAGTAGTAAATAAAAATAAGTAACACAGATTGGGAGTAAACAAATGGATTCTTTTTTCCACTTTCAATGGGAACATGAATACAAGAGATATCCTAGTCGTATTCTTAATTTCTTTTTGAAATAGTAAGACCAGTGTGACAAAATTAACATTTTGGCCTTGGTGTCAAGAACAGAAAGTAGAAGAGACTGAGGTAAACTGCAAAGTAATATACTCCATCTCAAGGAGGCAGCTACTTTTTGACAGTAGCCAGTTTTTATCATATGAGAAACTTCTCTAAGAAAAGCCAGAGGGCTCCTCTGGTGGCTCAGTGGTAAAGAATCTGCCTGCCAGTGCAGGATGACTCGGGTTTGCCCCCTGATCTGGGAAGAACCCACACGCTGCAGAGCTCCTAGGCCCACGAGCCACAACTATGGAGCCTGCGCTGTAGGAGCCTGGAGCTACAGAAGAGAAGTTTGTGCGCCCCAGAGCCTGTGCTCTGCACAGGGGAGGCCACTGCAGTAAGGAGCCTGCCTGCTCCAGTTAGAGAGTAGCCTCTGCTCGCCACAGCTAGCGGAGAGCCTGCGCAGCAACGAAGACTTAACGCAGCCAAAAATAAATAAAAACCAGAAGTCCAGATAGTTTGAGAGATTTTGAGATATACTTTTGTTCCTTCTGATTTTTGGTGTTGTAGGTAAGAAACCATTGTCACATCTAAGGTCACAAAGATTTAACCCTAATTTTTGTTCTAAGAGTGGCATGGTTTTAGCTCTTATATGTAGGTCGGTAATCCATTTTGACTTAATTTTCTGTATATAATGTGAAACAAGGTTCCATGTGGATATCCAGTTCTCCCAGCACTATTTTTTTGAAGAAACTATTCTTTCCGCATTTGAACGATCATCACATCACTATTGGAAATCTGTTGGCCGTGGATGTATGTGTTTATTTCTGGACTATCAGTCCTATTCTGTTGGCTTTTATGTCTGTCCCTTACCAACCACACCGTCTTAATTGCTGTAGTTTTGAAATTGGGAAGGATGAGTCCAACATTTTTCGTTTTCAATATTGTTCTGGCTCTTCAGGAGCCCTTGTAGCTCTACATGAATTTGAGAATTGTCTTTTCCAATCTTTCTGCAAAAAAAAAAAAAGAGGGAGGGGCTGTTGGAATTTTGATAAGAATTGTGTTAAATCTGTAGATTGTATAGTATTGCCATCTTAATAACAATATTCAATCTTCCTATACTTGAACATGGATGTCTTTCCATTTATTTAGGTTTTCTTTATTTCTTCAGCAGTGTTGTATAGTTTTCATGTACAAGTCTTTTACCTCCTAGGTTAAATTTATTCCTAGGTGTTTTATTCTTTTGGATGATACTGTAAATTGAGTTGTTTTCTTAATTTCCTTTTAGGATTATTCACTGCTATTATGAGTTACAGTGTGTTAGAAATACAACTGATGTTTGTGATGATTTTGGATCTTGCAATTTTGTTGAATTCATTTACTAGCTATAGTAGTTGCTTTGTGGATCTTCAGGATTTTATGTATGTAAGATCAGGTCCTCTGCAAATAGAGTTTTACATCTTCCTCTCCAGTTTGGATGCCTTGCATTTCTTTGCCTTGCCTTATTGTTCTGGCTAGAGTTTCTACTACATTGTTCAATAGCAGTGGTGAAAGTGGGCATACTTCTCTTGTTCCTCATTTCAGAGGGAAAGCTTTCAATATTTCACCAGTGAGTATAGTATGGTGCTAGCTGTGGTTTCACATAGGTGTCCTTTATGAGGCTGAGAAAGTTCCCTTCTCTTCCTAGTTTTCTGAGTGTTTGT